TTTTTCATGTAACTTTTCTGGCTAATATTTTGATCACTTTTTGGTAAAAATCTAGGGGGAAAAAAGTAATACTGGGACTACTTACTTTGAAAAGCATCTATATTTTATTAAATTTACTGCCTCAAAATATGCTATATTCGTTTATATTTCAATAAATCCTTATTAAGGAAACCAGGGTAGAATGAAATGAAAAGTGACTTTCCTCAGTATCCACATAATAAAAATATAGTACAGCTTGTCGAAGTATTCTATTCCCCATTGCACTCTCTGGCCATGATAAATGGAAACTGCCTGTCAGCAGGTAAAAGTGGATGCCACATTTCTAATAGCAGCCTTGTTTGGCAAAAAGCAGGCACTGGAGCACAAAAATTAAGTCTACGGGCCCATCCCTCTTAGCACTGATCAAACCACGTGAACAAATCAAAAATATATATATATATATTCATTACAATAAGCCAAATATTTTAGGTACATTTAGAGCGACTACTTAGAAAAGAAAACAAAATAGAAAAGAAAACCACTATGTACTTTTCTATCTTCACTCTCAATACAAAAGCATATACTCTTTTTTTTTCCCCACAGCAGGTTTCACAGCATTACAATTTAAAGGAAAAAAAGCAAACCAACATAGAAGAATAGAAAAAATAAACATATACTGGTGGCTCATATATACACATGCTGTCAGTGTACTTATTGATTTGCTGCTTCTAATTTTTTCTTTTTGTTTGATTTTTTTAACATCAAGTTCCTCAAAGCAGAATAACCTTCAAACATTTTATTAACTTCTATAGTATTGCACTGTGATTGACAGGAATGATGCCAATGCTCTTACACACGCTTGAAAAGGAAAACTATTCACATTCGATTGAAAGTACAAAGAAAAAGAGTGTTGAATTTAACACTTAATGTGAATTAACTCAGTTATGCAAGGCAGTAACTGGATATGTGCCTGCATTCCCATACATAACACTATGCTATGGAAAGACACATGAACATTCTGGTATCAGATTAGAGCACTACATTCTCTACTATAACCAAATAACCTAACAACCAAATGTTTTACAAAAACTCTGTACATCAACTAAATGCTCCTCTACAGACACAGAAAAGACAGGAGTTCTTAAACAGGCTATCTAGGTTCAATTTCTACCTGCTTACAATCTATGAAATCACAGGTAAATTACTCAAGCTTTCTGCGCCTCGTTTCATTTTGAGTAAAATACAGGTTATAATCATTAAATACCAACTTATTTTTTTTTTAAGGGGAGTAAGGTAGAGGATTAATACAGTGTCTGGCATATGATGAGTAATCAACAAATGTTAGATATTATTATTAAATCATTTTATATAAAAGTAAACTAATCCCCCATGTCCTCTTCTGACTTACCTACCTTTGAAAAATGTAATGAAGTATAAAATACACAATAGTCAAGTGGTAGAAATAAATACAAAATAATAAAATGGTTGGATTTATTAGCAGTATGGATAAACACAAATTAAATTAATAATAGCAATATTCCAGGATTTATTCAAATATTCCAACATATGAATCCCTTGCATTCCCCTTTCAGTCCCTTACTACCACTATGATTTTACTTTTAAACATAAAGATACAAAGTATAAGAGATAAGAAAGTAATAGCAGAGGATAAGAAAAACTATAGAAGCCCTGATCAATTTATGTTTCTGATGATTCTTGGACAACTCCATAGAGATAGCCCTTTTAAGAGATTAAAGTGCTATATGCTTAATTATACTATAAAGTCTAACTTTTTAAAAATAAAATTATTCTAACAGAATAACAATTCATATATGCCAAAAAATGATTAAAACAAAAGTAAAAATCATTTTTATTAGCATGAAATAACCCCAAACTACTTTTCTAAAAACTGTGCTATTACTGTAACCCAAGAGAACATAACAAATTTAAAAGAAATTGATATAAAATTATTGAACAAATGATCGTTTTAAGTTTCATTGATATATTATTTTGAAATGAGAAAGTAAAGCTTAGAGTATGTCATAAATCCCATCATAAAGGTAAAATTTTCCTCAAAATTTTGATAGTACAATTCGACTATTGTGAAATGAACTACATGTTCATCAATACTGGCAGGAAATACATAAACTGACAAAAGCAAAAATATTCTTATAAGAAATTTAAGGATGGACTAACCCAAAATTTAATACATGTACTAACAAAACAGTGTAAGGAGAAAGATACTAGGAACAACAATTAAAAAATTAAAGGGAGAGATAAATCAGTGATTTACTGTGAATGGTACTTGGTTATACAACTTTGTAGGCAGTTACTTACCTAGATCCCCATAATTAACAGTGTGCTAAGAAACTAAAGTGCCTCATTTTAACCATACCATCTAATAATTTAAAATGTTAATAAAATTCTGAAACAGAAATGATAGATAAAAAGTTAAGGTAACAATAGGAACTCGCTCTAAATGGTTAAGATGAAGAACAAGATGATTAATCATTCTCTTCTTAACCTCTCATTCTTATGTTCCTCGATCAGGTACCTGATCAACTGAATATTCTCATCAAAGGTTTTCTGAATTGCTGTATGGACTGATGGAGGGAAGAAGGAAAGAAAAAAGCAATAGTAATAATCATAAATGTTATCTAGGTAGTTTTCAAATTTTAGTCTGGAATAGAATAATACCTAAGAAGTCTGCTTAGCCCAACCCTCTAATTCTAATTCATTAACTCAAGGATGGGTCCAAAGTTCACATTTCAACAAACACCCCAGGTGATCCTGATGCAGGGAATCCATGGCTTCTGGAACACCACTTCCAAAGCTATACCACATGGTACCCTATGCTACAATAAAAAATGTGCCTCGAAAAAGAGTGCTCTTTGATAAAATAAATTAGGAAAAAGGATAAAGAAAAGTAAAAGTAATCACTTTTCTAAACAGCAATATTTCTCAGAGCTTTATGCATCTGAATCCCCTAAGAGAGAAAATAACCATACTATATTTCCTAAAATTAGGCCATGGAATCCTTTTTTGTGTTTACTAGTATCTATAAGATGACTAAACTTTTACACAAGAAAACTAGAGACAAAGAATAAGATGAAAGCAATGGCACTAAATTAGAAAATTTTAAAGTTTTCTTATAATTCTAATTCTAAAAAATTTTTATCTTAAATAATACTAAACTATGGGCACATAAATATCACTATGATGTGTACAAAACTTCCCTCTATGTGATAACTTTAAGAGTAAAGAGGATAATACTGGCCATAAGGATTTCTTTAAACAATAAACTAGAAAAAAAAAATGTTTCATAAGAGGATAATCTTTGTATATGAAGTAATAACAGCTTTTCTAGAAGATCTAAAGAATAGATACAGATACTGGCATCAGTTACAGAAAATATTTTAGAAATAGAAACAAGCAGACTTATTTAAAGAAGGAAAATTCTCTTTAGTTCATTTGTAAACAAAATATATTTGTGAAGCCTAAAAAAACTAGCTAAAGTATAAATAAAACTATTTCAAGCTGATCAGTGTAAAGCACCCAAAATTAATTATTTCAATTATCTAAGAGATAACAATTTCCAGATTTGCTTTATCAACTTCAAATGAGCCCATAACATAAAACTAAATGAAATAAGATGGCTACTATAGATTAAAGAAAACTTTTGAGAAAACATTTACTTTGAGGAAAAAAATAAAGACTCTTCAAAACTAAACAGATAACAAAACAAATGATGACAAAATATCTTTACATCTCTCTCAGGGGAAGGCAGATATTTCTAAAGTGCCTGCCTGAGCTCAAGGTAAGAAAGTAATAAATGTCTCCCCCAAGAATTTCTAACTGTAAGCCAGAGCTTATGGGTTTGGAGCAGAAATTCACACTGCTTATGTAATAGAGAAGACACACACGCCAAGCTTTTATTTAAAATGGTCTCAGGTTGGTAGAGTTCCCAGCTATCTGGTAATAACAAATATGTTTTCTAGAAGAAAGTATTTAAACTCTGACCTTGAAGAATTTTCAATGCAAAATATGCTTGACAGAAAAACTAGAAAAGACCTGAATATACATTTCCTAGAAGAAGAAATACAACTGACCAAAAATATACAGATGCTCAAAGTCATTAGTATTGAAGGAAATGAAAAATAAAGTGCCTACATACTATTTTACATGTATCACACTGGAAAGCATTAAAACATTAGATGAAACAAGTTTGGCAGCAACAGTAACTTTATTCACTGCTGGTATGAGTATAAATTGGAATTATCTTCCAAAACCGAACATATATATATTTATATATATACCATAGCTAAGCAAATCCATACCTTGGTATATACCTGAATTCCTTATTACCATGCTGCAGGAGATATTAACAAAAATATTTTTAAAAGTTGTTTATAAACGAAAAAAGACAGAAACAGCAAAACTGACAATTCACAACACAAAAGATAAATTAAAAAAAACAGGTATCACACCTTAGTGAAAATAAAGAACTACAACTACACAAACAGAATCAGTATAATGTTGGTCAAAATATCAAATAACAGACAAAAACAGTTTGACTCCATTAACACAAAACTCAAAACCAGCAAAACTATGTATTATTTATAAATACATACATTTGGACTGTAAGTAAAAAGAAAAGAATAATATAAAGTCGAGGAAGGAGGTGGCCTCTGGGCTAAAAAGATGGGGATGTGACTGCAGAGGAATTCGCAGGGAATTTCAAAGGCTTTGGTAATGTTCTATTTTTGAAATAGTTTGGTATGTTCATTATATTAATGATGGGTGTTTATTATTATGTTCTAAGTTTACATATAAACTATAAATTCTCAGGTATGTATGGTATATTTCATAACATAAAACAATAAACTCTTAATAACCAAGAGCATATACACATTTCTTTCTTTGGCTCCTGAGTATATGTTTATCCTTTGTCTTTCTTACCTCTTAAATTTTGGCCTCAGAATTCTGTGATGATTATGATAAATAAAAAGAGAATAAATTACCGTGTTTCTTATTGGAATCTTCTTAGGTTCTGGGGGCATATCCTGTGGAACAAATTTCACTGGTTCCTTAATCTGCCTCCTTGATCGTTTGGTCCCATCTGGTAAGGTTTCCATGGCCATGTCTGCTTCCATGTCACTGCTCCCTGCCTGGTCACATTCTGAACACTGCCTACGTAAAGAAAAAAATTTTAAGTTCATACATTTATTTTTACCTTCTAGTGTTAGCACTGGTTTCTATAAATACGAAATTCAGATATGTGAAGTATATATAAAAATATACACAGGCATACGTGACCCAAGGTGTACAATGATTATGCATACTGAAAGGCACATACACTCCTTTTAAGAATGACAACAATAAAAATATAAAGCAATTCAGTGTATCCCTATAAATATAATAAGAGCACATGCAATAATGCTTCATGTTTAAATGAACCAACAGAAGAGATTCAGCACTGATTAAAAAGAGAGTTTCTCTTTGGAATTCATGACTTTTCTTTAAGTGACAAGTACTGTGTGACATCTGAGAATCAAAGTTATTCATTGACCCTGACTCTATTCTTGTTACAGCTGTAATATTTCTTAATCTTAATAATAAACTGTGCTTAATATTCCAACTAAGAAAACTCTGTAAAAACAGATTCCAAGAAATGCTGAAAAAAATAAACATTTTAGTTAGTGGCCCATACTAGTTATAAAAGAGAAAATATAAGCTTATTTATTAACAGAATTTAAAGCAGTGTTTTAAAAGAAAAAAAAAAAAACATGGGAGGAAGAGGGCAAAGTAGGCAGCAATGGGAATCTATTTATCTAGAAAACAATCGCACTGGCAGAATCTGTCTGATGTAATTATTTTGGAATTCTGGAGTCCACTGAAGGCATGCAGCTTCCAGGAAAAGGCTTGCATAGGTAAACTGCTATTAATTTTGGTCAATGTCAGCTCTTAGCACAAGCCAAATGACAGCCAGTTGTGAACATATTCCTGTACCAGCTTGTACACTGTTAAAAGCCAGCATGAGCAAAATAAACCCTGTCCTTCAAATATTGGGGATCTGCGTTTTGAACACAGATTGTTGCTTTTGATCACAGAAGTACAGGCAGAAAGGTGAGTGACCTCCCTCTATTATTGTAAGGCCCTCTCTCTTGGTCTGAAGTGACTTCCAGGACTTACCAGCACCCTTTATTCCCCCACCTTCATTTTCCTCTTCTTCCCCTTTTGGGAGCCAGATATTAGAGACTAAGGTATTCAGAAATAAGGACATAAATGAGAAAAATTAGAAAGTGACCACGCTTGCCCAGGAAAAAACTCAGAAAAGACATGAGAAGACCTTGAGATCAAGCTGATCCTCAGCATAGAGACAGCCCACTACAATAAAAAAAATTATAACAACAACAAAACACAACAAACCCTGGCAATAGAGGAGAATTTCATTTTCAGAGTTAACACATTATTAAATTCAAATTCCAGTTTTTGACAAAAATACCACAAGGCATACAAAGAAATAGAAAAGTATGGTCCATGTAACAGGAAAAAAAAAGTACGTAAACAGAAACTGTGTCAGAAGACTTGATGGCAGGTCTATAAGACAAAGACTTTAAAACAATTGTTATAAAGATGCTCAGTGAACTAAAGGAGGTTGTGGAGAAAGTCAAGAACACAATGTATGAAGAAAATGGAAATATCAATAAAGAGAGAAAGCCTAAAAATAAACCAAAAAGAAATTCTGGAGCTGAAAAGTAAAACAACTGAATGAAAAAAAAATCACCAAAGGGATTAAAAGGCAGATTTGAGCAGGCAGAAGAATCAGTGAACTTGAAGATAGGACAATGGAAATTATTGAGTCTGAGGAACAGAAAAAAAAAGGTTGAAGAAAAGTGAACAGAGCCTAAGGGACATGTGGGACATCAATAACTGAAAACATTTAAACTGCGAAAGTTCCAGAAGAAGAAGAATGAAAGGGGTAGAGAGAATGTTTGAAGAAATAATGCTCAAACATTTCTCAAATTTGATAGAAGATGTGAATATAAACACCTAAGAAGTTCAATGAATACCAAGTAAGCTATGCTCGGAGTCCCACACCAAGATGCAATATAATAAAACTTCCCAAAGAGAAAGACACAGAGAGAATCTTGAAATCAGAAAGAGAGACATTAAGAATAATCACATACAAGAGCGCCTCAATAAGACCATCAGCAGATTTCTCATCAGAAACTCTGGAGGCACTGGGTCAATATAGTCAAAGTGTTACAAGAAAAAAAGAAGAAAAAACCTGTAATCCAAGAACCCTACGCCCAGTAAAAGTGCCTTTCAAAAATGAGGGAGAAATTAAGATATTCCCAGACAAAAGCTGAGTAAGTTTTTTTACCACTAGCCCTGACCTATAAGAAATGCTCAAGAAAATTGAGCAGGATGAGAAAAATGACACTAGACAGTAACTCAGAGCTGTATGGGTAAATAAAGATCTCAATAAAAGTTAATACATAATCGAAAATAAAAGCTAGTAGTATTGTAACAATGGTTTTAACTCAACTTTTTGTCTTTTTACATGATATGAAAAAAATTATTACTCTAAAAGCTATATTATGTAACTGTGGCTTGTAAGTCCACAGGTTGATGAAGGATTTGAATAAACACTTCTCCAGAGAAGATATACAAATGGCTAATAAGCACATGAAAAGATGCCCAACACTACTAATAATTAGGCACATGAAAATCAAAATTACAATGAGATACCACCACACACCCATTAGGATGACTACTATCTAAAAAACAAACAAACAAAAAACGGAAAATAATATGTGCTGACAAGGGTGTGGAGAAATTGGAATATTTGTGCAATGTGTGTAAAATGGTACAGCTGCTTGGTAAAACTGTAGTGGTTCCTCAAAAAACTAAAAATAGAATTTCCATATAATTTGTCAATTCCAATTATGAGTATATATTCAAAAGAATTGGAAGCTGAGTCTCAAAGATATTTGTACACCCATGGTCATGCAGCATTATGTGGGAGTGACCCAAGTATCCATTGACAAATGAATAGATAAGCAAAACATGGTATATACATACAATGGAATATTATTCTCTTTTTAAAAAGAAAATTCTCCAATAGTCTATGACATGGATGAACCTTGAGGACATTATACGAAATAAGCCAGTCACGAAAAGGCAAATATTATATGATTCTACTTAGATTTGGTAAAGATGTCAAAATCACAGTCAGAAAGTAGAATGGTGGTTGCCAGAGGGAGAAAAAGAAGTTATTGTTTAATGGATATAAAATTACAGTTTTACACAATGAAAAACACTATATAGATAGATGTTGGCGATGGCTGCACAACACTGTTAATATATCTAATACCACTGAAATGTACAAGATTTATGTTATGTGTATTTTGCCACAATAAAAAACATTTGAAAAAACATATGAGTAACACTAAAACTGAAACATCAGACTAGATCAGTGCTGTCCAATAGAACTTTGTGTGTTAGAAGTATCTAAATCTGCACTGTCCAGTACAGTAGCCAGTCGCCATTATACAGCAGCTATTGAACACTTACAATATGGTAAATGTGACTGAGGAACTAAAAGTAAACTTTTTTCCATATAGTTTATTCAAATTTAAAAGACTGATCAGATTGATATTTAGTTTACATGTGTTTATATCAGTACTCTTGAGAAAAACATAATTCTCTCATCAAGAATTTTCAAAGATCTCTTGCCATTTGAATTCATGCATCAACAATAGTCACACCTGTCGCTCATTAATACAGTAAACTTAATATCAAATAAATATTTATTTTAAAAAAGTAATAGCTTTAAATTTTGAACTCCAATAACAGAGTTAAATACAAAGTGCTATTTGTGTTGCTAATACAAATACATTAATTACCAAAATGCAAATTAGTATTTAGGATTAATTTTAATATCTTAAAATCCCCATTTATTTAAGCAAAATTGTTGAGCAAAAATTTTAACATTAAAACATTAAACAATAAGAGAAAAACAAGTTAGTAAGTAATTACCATGTGTTATTTAAAAATTTTTATGTATCTAATGCTAGAACTAAGCCCTTTATTCCTTGGAATCACAGATTACAATCAAAATAAAAATACCACTAAAATGTAATATACTAAATTGTTCCTGTCTTGTCCCATTAAAAAGATTAAAGGTTCCTTGGAGAGGTAAACATCTTACTGAATCTCCTAACTGAAATGATGAGATATTTTGAAATAATCTATTGATAGTCCTAAATTGTGAAAATATCACAAATGTTAGATATTATTAGTAAGTAATAATAAAAACAACCACCATAAAACAGAAATGTCTATATAAAGATAAAAGAAAAGGACCAGTTTTTTGCTTTTACAGTATGTAATCATAGTACTAAGTGATCATTTCTACTGGTTGAAGTGAACTGTAGTCAAAGTTTCTCAAACAGTTCAATTCACTTTTAACATACATGAATTTCTGGGATATTAGGATGAATCACTGTGGGTTGTTTTTTCTTTTGTGAATTATTTCCTCTTTTGTTTCTTATTCTGTAACTATAACTCTTGTCAGGACATTCTCTAACTTCTCCTGTTCACTCTCATCCTCACCCAAAGCAATACATTTAGATGACAGAGAAACTTGCTTTTGGAGCACTGAGATAATAGAAATGTTATGTCCTGTACAACACAAAACATTGAACAACTAAGAAATCAAAAGAAAATGTAACTACCAATGCAGAAATTTATCTATTCCTATTTCAAAATAAATGCCACAAAATAGTTTCAGTACACAGAGCAGACACAGATGGACATTGCTTGCAATTTTTTCAACTACTATTAAATATTATAGTCTCCATCTTATAAATACCCATTAAGATATGAAAAAGTATCTCTGCAACATTAATCTGTACACAAGGTGTTAAAAAATAACCTAGGATAAGGCTATGGTCTGTCCAATTCACTCTTTTCTAAAACTAGAAAGGTAATTTGTATAAAAAGAATATCATGTCCATTTCAAACTTTTCCATGTCCTATATTCTTCCTGTATAGAATCATCCAATTAAAATTTGTACATCTGTCTCTTCCTTGGACTAAAACTAGGGAAAAGATAAAACTCATCATAGGTATCATCTCCATAAGCATCTGTAGTGATTCAATATGCCTTAGTTAATAAAAAAAATCATTAAGAAACATATATCAAATGTTTCTAGATTTACAAAGAATGGTTGAACTTACCAGTAACTGTTTTTGGTCTTTCTTGGCATCCTTGTAAGAGGAGGGTCCAGACATCCAAGATGGTAATGGAGTTTACAGGTATCACACAATAAAAGAAGATGCTGATCATGGTTCTTCTTACATATTCCACAACTTTGAAATAAAGGCAGCAAATAAAGTATTAGAATAATAATCATAGTGAAATGGTTAAGTTTATAGCATATATTTTAAATTTCAAACTAATATAATATTGAAGGTCAACTGTAATCCAAAAAAAAAAACCAACTTTTTTTAAAGAACTGTAATGAGGCATTAGACCAAATAGATATTAAAACATACTACAGCAAAGTCACTATTATTAAAATAGCCAGGTACTGGGGTATGAATAGTTATCTAGATGAACAGAAAAGAATAGAAAATCTAGAAATAAACTCAACTGCATATAGAAATCTAGTATATGATAAAGGTGGTGCCTCAAATCATGAAGGCAACAATTAAACTTTTTCATAAATAGTACTGGGACAAGTAAATAAAATTAGATCTATACCTTATATAATATGCAAAAATAAATTCCAAGTGGATCAAGAATCTAAACATAAAACATGAAAACTATACAAGTAAAAGAAAATGTGTGAATTCCTTTACAACTTGTGCATATAAAAATCCAAATGTAAAAAAATGACAAATTTGAAAAGAAAAATGATCTCAACAGTATTTTTGTTAAAATCAAATGTTTTTTCATAACATCTTTTTATAATGTCAATAATTATTAGTGCTAAACACTTTTGAGAATGTAGATAAATAGCCCAAATCTAGCATAAATTTAAATATTGCTAGAGTCAAACTTTTCGAAGGGCATATATAAGATCTATATTGTCAACTCTTAATTCTCATCTCTTAATTTTAATTACCACTTAAAACCTATTTAACATTAGCTTGATATTTCTCTAGAAACACAAATTATTAAAAATAGAATTTTCCATTTTCTACTTCTCTAAAACATCAAAAGTGACTTTACAAACAAAAATCAGTTTATTTTCTAACATTAATTATAAATCTTTCAGAGTCTTCAACATGTAAACAAACTACCTATATAAATGTCTCTTTTCAAAATCAGACTTTGAGTCTTAAAAGTATACTTTTAATATTTATTGCAGAAAATGGAGTTTTACTATTGCTGTTACTGTTATTTTTAATTTTCGTGTTTAAAGACTCTAACTTTTCTTATACAAAAGGCATTTTAACTATACCCAAGCACTATACCCAAAAATCTAGGGTATATTTATATTAGGAATGTAAAAACTGAGAGAAAAGCTATCAAGAACCTAAAAGAGCCATGTATGTACAGAAACAACAACGATGCTGGAATTTTTTAAATAATCCTAGAAAAAAGGATCACACACCACCACCACCACCACCACCACCACCGAAACCAGTACTTGGTCTCAAAGTTGCTCAGAGTTTTAAAAAAATCATCTAAAATATATTCTGAGACAAAAATAAAGTGTAGTGACAAAACTCAAAAGCATAGCAATATTCCTGATTGTTCCAAATGAACCAGTTTTGTTTGGAAAAGCTGGACTGAGAATGTGCTAGTCTTCAGTCACTGAGACACTGGTGGTCTTTCCCCAAATTTCAAGGAAGTTATTTGCTACTACCAATGGAGGGATCCTCCTATCGAGAATGGAAAGTAATTATAGAGATTGATATTGTTGCTATTGCTGCTATTTCTGAGAAAAGAAGAGGTTGTGGGATATATTTACATATTATATAACCATATATACATATGTATGTGAATATATCAGCATCTTCTAAACTCTTCTCACTTAATATAATTGGTTACATTAAAAAAAAGTAAGATCCTAACCTATTTAGGTATGGAAAGAAGTCTTGACTATGTAAAATTACTATAATGGTGAACACTCCAAAATACTGAGCTAAAAAAGGAAAGAACAAAAATAACTCTAGAAATAAAATTATTACAACTGAACATAGAGGAAAAAAATGTAGATTCAAATCTAAAACTTACCTTCACTGTCCATCACTGTACAAAGGCAATAAATAATTCATAGTGTATATACGATAACCATCACTACCTAAAAACACATGAAAACTCTAAAACTCATTCAAATAAAATAATAAATGTCCATTTATCTAATATATTATTTATTTAAAAACATAATCATCTATATTATTTAAAGTCACTTTCCAATTCTCCAAAATAGAACTGTTCATTCCCATGGAGTTTATGCACATATATCTCCAGTTAGTTAAAGAACAGAAAAGTCATTTCATGTCTCTTATCATTAAAAGAGGAGTAAAAGTCTCTACTATCATTCTACCTGAAAAGCATCTTTGATAAAGATATTAATAAAATGAACTTTAAATGGATCTTTCATAAATTCTGGTATGGATATAATTGATTCCCAAATACTTGAAGCATATTGCTACTAAAAAGTATTAGTTTAAAAATATGCAATATCAATCTGTCATAGTATCATTACTTGCCTATAAAGTACTGCAGGAAGAACAGATGTCTTTTGTGTGCCTCCTTCTTTTTTACTCGGTTTTCTTTCCTTGGGTGCTCGCAAAATTGCCGGTATGTTCAACTTCTATTGATTTGAACAAATGCAGTTTATTTTGTTTTAAAGAAGAAATACAAAGCAACGTTTTCCTCTCTATGCCACTCAAGTTAACTATATATATATGTTAGGACTGTGAGGGGAAAATGTTTTTACCAGCTATTACACTGGCAAAAAGGATTAAAATGAGTTTGTTTCAGTTAATTCCATTAGAAGCCTGTAATTACGTGCTTCCGTCAATTTTCAGTGAAACATTAAAATACTATGAAAATTAAACTTCTACTTTAGCTTTAAAAAGTGAAAAACAAAGACAACCATTTAAGAACATTTAATAAAAAACCACAAAGTACACTTGACAAAAAGAATATTGAAGACGTTTATTTTCAACATCCCAGCTACGTTGGTGCTCCACAGGTTAATTAGAAAAATTATCTTATTGGACCAAACTCTCCACAAAGAGAATGAGATTCTCTTTGGGTTTCTCCTAATCTGTAGTATGCTGGCTTCTCAGACAGCAACCATCTATCAAAGTCATTTCTCAGTGGCCCAGTGGGCTGGCATCTGTTCAACCAACAAGAAAAAAGTGTCATGCAAGCGGTACAAATGAATTCTACTTCTGTTCTGATTTTACACTTGAACAGGGAAATCTGTGAACGTCTGTCTGTTAAAAGTCATTTAATAAATGAAAAGTGCCCTTTAACAGGAGATTCTTAGGAGACAAACTTGAAAATCAAGCCGAAAGATAACATTAGCTTGGCAAATAAATAATAAGTTTGCATTCAACATTAACTTCTCTAAATATAAAATATAAAACATCATCTTCCAAAACTCCATCAACAACCTATCACTAGGAACAAGGATCTGGTCTTCATAGGCGACTATTCACTCTCATCTTTTAAACTATTATTCATTATAATATAAACCACATATACTCAGCTCACAAAATAAGCATCTTCAAAGCTAGCATGAGACAATACATATCAATATGTATTATTTCCTAAAATAATATTTCTACATTAATTGTATAATGAATTTGACTCTTTGTAAAACTCTGAAATGAGTACAATGAAAAACATCTGTTCTTTGAATATTGTCCTTCACAAACAAAAATTTCATAGTGAAAGGACTACTGAGTCTCTATCATCTTTAAAAAATATAACTGAAATTACCTGAATGAATTCTTAACTTATGAATTATATGTACAGTACTAAAAAAAAACATTCAAAGAAATCTATTTGGCAATGATACTTCTTTCCAACATCAAGAACTTTAACAGGCTAAAAATGTTCAAGGATAAAGTACTTTTTTTCTTAACTACAGTAATAGCTATACTTTAACACTAAAGTTTCAAAAACCATCTCTAACACAGCTCAACACCAAATCAACATGAAAATGAATCTCTCTAGTTTGCCTTTTAAATTTTACATCAAAAAAAAATTTAAATATTTTACAAGAACAGGACAGAAAAAAATGTGACAGGGAATCTAAAACTGCTAAATTAGAGGAAATAAGAATGTGCCAGGAGTAACCCATGCTTCAAATCTTAGTTTTATCGCAATGACAGGTAAATCAGAGCAAATGAAAAAATACTGGAAACAAGATAGCTGTTAAAACAACCAAATTAAGCTGAGGTAACCAATGTTCTTGGTGTATTTCGGGCAGAAATGATTATCCCAGAGGATTAGTTGGCCCTAATCAAACAGAATTCTTCATTTAGCAAAGTGACAGTTGTATCAGAGATCTGATCTTTGAAAATCATATAGGGAACAAGACTAAGAGATAGCAATTGGAAAGAAACTAACCTGCCCTGTGATTCTGCCTAGTAAGGCCCATATTCCTTGCCCTTCACTTCGAAGTTTTCCATTCAGGTTTTGTAGTTCTTCTAAAGATTCACATAGCTACGGGTAAATAATTCAAATTAGTAAATCATTAAAATATGTAGTAAAATATGTAAAAATTTAAATAATTCATCAATAAATGTCCAAGAACATCTATATTTATATTCTATATAATTTTAATATATTCAAGTCACAATACCACTGAGCAATGAGGCTATCTAATTAGTTAAGAAGCACTGACAAAATGTTACCATTTTATGTTAGCGGTTTTACTAATGATAATAATGATACTTACATTTATATATTGCTATAGTTTACTAAATAATTTCACTCACATTCTGCTAATGAATTCTTATGACTTTATCAAAACACATTTCTACCATATCCCAGTGAGAAAACAAGAATCATAGAATTTTTGTGACTTGGCCAAGATCATGGAACTAGCCAGAATCCCTAGGTCCTCTGAATCTAATCCCAGTACTCTTCGCTACAGTGTGGCTAAGTATAGGAAATTTACTTCCTACTAATTTTTTATCACTTAAAATGTTATCTAACAATACAATACCAGTTTTATAAGCTCATGATACTTATTATCTAACATATTAGACATACCTTGCTTTTAAATTATCTTTCTTTTTGAGCACTCTCATCATTAGAATGAAGAGGTAAAATGAAAATTTTAATTGAGAGGTATTTTTTTTTAACCAAAAGTAACATTACATGTAATGGCTGGGTGTAGAGTCAGAGGAGAGAAAGAGCAATCGGGGATCTTTTTATAAACTATGTAAATGTCTAATCAATGTACTGTATACTTAAAACTAATAATAAAATTTTTTTTTTTTTTTTTTAAAAGAGCAGATACTTAAAAATATCCTGCAGGTATTCACCAACAAATCAAGATTTTCAAGGAGTAATTTCTTAAATGAATAATTAAAAGTTGTTATATTTAATATCAGATTATACTATATTTAAATCTTTACTATTAGAACCACAATGTTAAGACAGTATGACTGAGAGAAGAGAAAATGTAATGTACTAAACATTGTCTAAAAATAAACATTAAAGTCCCCCCCCAAAAAAATAACATTACAAAACAATTCAATATAAAATTAGTAATTTAAAAATAAGTTTCTAACTTAGAAATAGTTCTATAGTACAGTGGTTAAGAATAAGGAATAAACACAGACTCATGGACATGGACTATAGACCAGTGGTTACCAGAGGTCAAGGGGTGGGGGAAGAGGGGGGAAGTAGACTGGGTAAAGGGGGTCAAATATAGGGGAGTAGGGGGAGGGTGAAGTGGGTAAAGGGGATCAAATATATGGTAACTGAAAGAAACTGGACTTTGGGTGATAAATACATAATAGAATATACAGATGTCAAATTATAATGTACACCTGAAAATTATATAATTGTATTAACTGATGTTACCCTAATAAACTTAATTTTTAAAAAGTTAAAAAAAAAAAAAAGAATAAGGAATGGAGTCTGATTGCTTGGCCTGACTATCTACGTAAGTGTAGGCAAATTACTTCACCTGTTTAGGACTCAGTTTCCTCCTCTGAAAATGAGAGCATTAAGTATAACCCACATTATAAAGCTGAAGTGAGAATTAAATGTATTAATACATGTAATGTTCTCAAAATTGTGCGTGGCACATAGCAGGTGCTCAGTTAAGTCAATTATAGATAATGATGAAGATGAGGGGTAGGAGTTATAGGGAAGGGCCTAAAAACTCCATTAAGAATTTTAAAATGAAACATAAATAGAAATGCTATCACATCACAAAAGAAATCATCAATAAGATCTATTATATGTTGTTTCTCTGGTAACCAACTTACCTTATTATATTCCACATGAAGCTTTTCTTGTTCATTCTCTAATTTATCCTTTATATTCTTTTGTTCAGCCATGTTTTCCTGAATTTGAATCATGCGCATATTTCTCTCTATTTAAATTAAATATCCAATTTTACTTTAGTAGAAAATAAAAGCTAATATCCAAAATACACAAAGGAAGAAGCTAGCCACAGAGATGATCACATGGATAAACCACTGTTTAAAACACTTTAAACGGGAAGCATGGAAGAGGGAATGCAGTTAGCATTAATATGAGTGGAGGGCTAAGTGGAGGGTCAGGGGAGGGAGGAAGCAATTGGGGGGATGAACATTATAAATGTCTAACCAATGTACTGTATACTTGAAATTAATTTAAATAAATAAACTTATTTACAAAAAAAAAAACGCTTTAACTCTATTCACGAATACATGAACCTAGCATTTTACAACAACTCACAACTTACTAGGAAAATAAACATGCTTCTGCTTGATATATGTAGCATGGATAATAAATTTAAAATTGACAGCATAGCAAATATTTTCATTAGCAAATTGTTCTCATTTGAAAACATGCACATATCAGTGTCTATACTGACCAAAATAATAATTCACAAAATCAGCAGTGAGAGCAGGTTGCTTATGCTTTCTCCTTCCATCCACACTAGAACTAGTATCTGAATTGTCCACTGGGAAGATGTCTGTACTGATCCCCATTAGTTCTGCTTTCCGCATCAGTTTACGAATGGCTGAAGCACTGCTAGTGAGTGGTCTAGGCAATTTTTCCCTTGGAACCCAGGCCTGGGGCCTGGTGGATCGAGCTAGCTCTGCTTTGGCACGATATTGCTGAAGCCGGGCATTGATCCTTGCCTATGTTAAAAAAAAAGAAAAAAAGAAAAAAGAAAGTATACAAATTTTAAAAGACATTAAAATGGAATATACTCCTTATGATTTTTACTTCCATGCTTAGACAAAGTAAAGATAACCAGAATTTCCTACATCAAGGCAAATTCTATCTATCCATGATATACTGTATAGTTCTTGAGTTGCGATAAATTAGATCTACTCCTAGTAATAAGTGTTCTATAATCAGAGTTGTAAGAAATTAATTTGATTAAGCTTAAGTTTCTTGTCTTAATAACTACAATAGTCTCAATAAATTTACTTAATTTACATAGAAATACATTTTAAATGATGAGAAAACTGATCAAATCCTTTGCATAAATAAACATTTGAACAGGCTGAAAAAGATGTGGTCAACATATTGCATTATTAGACTATTTCCTCTAAGCCACACTTTTCAGTGTATTTGGAAACATGCTTTATAAATGGCTGCTGTGTTGACTAGATGAGGAGCAATGTATTTAGCCACAAACTTTACTCACAATCTTAATGACAATCTACTTCCTAGATAACTAACCAAATTTCATAACTATATTTCACATAGTATTGGCAAAAACACGTAAGATCAGAAATATATAACCTTGAATGAAAAAAAAATGAGTTTGGCATAAATTCCATACCTGCGCCTCTGGTGACAGTTGCTTCTCTCTCTCTTGTAAAGACATTTTACAATAAGATTGTAGAGCCAAGTAATTTTTTCTCTTCCACTTTCTGTCTAATCTATCTGCATGTTGCTTACAATAAGCAAAAAATGGATCTGCTATATCCTGTACCAAAAAAACAGGGAGAAAAAAAGCAAACATTTTTAATCCCAAAGGTCATATAAAATCTAACACAAGAGATAATTTTTAATAGTCTTCTGCAGTGGTAGTTACTTCTAAAATAAATAACAAAAGTAATTCTTATACATAATGATAAAAACTGCTGCTTTAGTAACTTAATCCTGTACATCTGCTTCAAATTAATAATAATTTTTTTTCTATAAAAGGCCTCGTAGACTTTAAAATACTGAAATCAAATTTTGTGTATATTTAATTATACTCGTATACCTAAAAATAAATTCCATTTAAAACAAACAGGATTTCAATAATCTTAGGTAGAAATCATCATTAAAGTTATGTATACATAGATTAATATCACAAAACAATATATTCAGAAACTACAGAACTAGCCAACACAGATAAGTGGGACATTCTATCTGGCTAGCAATGCATGGATAGATTCTACTCAAGACAAAAACGGATTAAGAAGGCCAGGCCCTGTTAATAAAGTACTCTGGGTAGCCCCTTTAATTCTTTATATTACCCTAAAACCTCAAATGAAAACACAGCTCTCCCATCAACATCTTTCATGATAGTAGTCTAATGAGTATATATTTTATTCATAAAGAATAGAGTACCAAAAAAGAGGAATTAACTCTAACAAAAACAGAAATAATCTGTAAATACATAGCCTAAAAAAGTAATCCACAATGTTATTGCTAAAATGATAGGTAGTTCATTCTTTAGGTATGTTCCAAGGAGAAAAGGTCCATATTGTTGGGTTTTTTAAAAGATTTTTATTAAAATACAACATACAGTATTTCAGGAGTATGGCACAGTGATTAAACACATATACCTAAAGAAGTGATCACCATGATAGGATCCATATAGTTTTTATCTAATTTACATTAAAAAAGTGTCTTAGTAAGGAAGGGTTTTACAACCCAAAGAGAAAGGATGACACTAAAAAAGAAGAAACAAATAAGAACAGAAAAAGAAATAATAATAAAAAAAGAATCTAAGGTATCCTTACCATTAACAAAAAAGCACATGATGCAATTCTGTAGTATGATACTCACAGCTGTCATAGTAGAGCACCGGGGATAAGATTACAGAATTTGGAAATACAGAAACCCAGATACAAATCTCGGCTCCACCATTTACTGGTTTTGCGGCTTCAAACAACCTGCTAAACATCTCTGAGCTTCTGTTAATTCATTAGTAAAATGAACTTAGTAATAACTACTTCATATGGCTAAAAATTAAATATGAAAATGTAGGTAGAAGACTGCATTCAGATACATACGCACACACACAGCTGCTTTCTCACGACATGCTCTAAATCTTGGTGACAGAAGATGTTAAATAGAAATAAAGATTATATTGAACCTCAGGCAAATGGCAACAATTTGAAGTATTATTCTACTGTTTTAAAGTAGGAAAGGTTGGAAGTGAGTTATCAGAGATGAGACTCATGCATGGTTCCATAGGTTAATGAAACATTAGGGCCAAGACTCTGACAGGAAAATAACCAATCATCCTTGGTCTAAAAGATATCTGAAAGGAAATAAGTCACCCAAGTAATTTGTTTTGTTTTAATTAATTAATCTGGGATTGGGGGACAATAAACCTAAATTCTAAGACTAGGATAACCAAGGGATTAATCTTGTTTAGAGAACGGAACATATATACCAAGCAAATATTAACTATTGTAAAAACCACTGTCTTTTAATATCTATTCTCCCCTTTGCTTCCCATTAATACTAGAACCCTTTGAGTTTTTACTGGATACTTGGCTACCCTTCTAGAAATGCTGTGCTCCAGCCTCCCTGAAGCTAGATATGGCCATATGAAAAGTTCTGGCCAATGATGTGTAAAATTTCTGGACCATGACCTTGAAAGAAAGCTGCCCACTCTTAATCTCTTCTTTCCTCCTTCCAATGGAGTGGAACCCGATTGAGGTGGTGATAAATCATCTCTGACCGTGTGAGAAAGTGCAACAGACCAAAAATATGATAAAGCATCAAGTAAGAAGGTACCTTGTCCCTGGAACTAAACTTCCCTGAATATTAAATCAGTCTGGAGTCTTATATTAGAGAGAATTCAACTGCTCAGTTTAAGCTGCAAGTTATAAGGTTTTGTTAAACCAGTGAAAACATTGTCCTAATTAATGTACTGGTTGCTTTGGGATATCCCTTCAACCTGCTTAGAGAAATAGAACTTTCAAGATCTTACTCCCACTGGAAATGGAAAGGGAAAACCATTTTTATGCATACCACTATGTGCCAGGCACATTTGCATACTATCTCATCTATCTTTTAACACCGTCATGTGAGATCAGTTCTTCACTGTAATATCAATTTTATGGATAAAAAACTGAAAACCAGAATGGTTAAGCTGCTGACCCAAGATCCAGAGCTAGTAAGATCTGTCTTTTTCAACTACTACCTGACTGTTATCAGACTCACTTAAGGAAGTTTCTAAATAGAGATGACAAAAGCCCAACTCTGGAGATTTGAATTCAGTAGGCATAAGACAATGGTTTTAAATGTGGAACAGTACCAGTAAACATAAATGATCAAATCGGGGCTGAAAGATGTTAGAAAATTATAAGAGAAAAGTAAGTGACAGTGGGGGGAATAAATAATGGGGGTAACTATGAGAACTTTAGGGCCTATGGCAAACTGGAATGCCCCACCTATTATGAAAAGTAAGGTGTTCTTTTCATAATACTATTCCTATCTAACAAAATGTATACGCTGGTCAAATTTAGCCTGTGGGCATCTGGATTGCATGGTTTGGTCTAGAATCTTTAAAAAAAAAATTTTTTTTTTTTTTTTTAAATAAAGCTCCCTGAGTAATATTGGCACAGCAGATCAGAGGAGCATAAACTGAAAGAAGAAACTACTGGGAATCTTATATGATGAGAACCAAGTGGCACTTATAAACACAGTATATTTTTAAGAAAACAGAGGTACTTTATTGGTATCTTAATAATAAAATTGAAGTGTTTATTGAAACCAGTAGCACATAAATACTATAATTAGTTAATTATAACACCATCAATATTCTTGTCCACCCCACCTCAGCCACCTAATTGTCATGACAGTATCTACATTCTGCACCCTCTCTATAATTTAACACTTAAAATATCATTCTCCGAGCATCATTTTTTATCCTTCCTGGTTACTCCCTTTGAGACTCCAATGGTCCAATTAAGGTTAATTCCTTAACTTGTGATTTGGATCTCACTCCATCTTTCCTCTAGCAATTCTACATCTCTCCTGCATTTTTTCTCTCTACTAGATCTCTCCCTTCAGTATACTTAAGCATACAATATACTAAATATAATAAGTATACTAAACATACTTAAGCATACAGTATACTAAATATAATAAGTATACTAAACATACTTAAGCATACAGTATACTAAACGATATACTAAACACTAAAGATCTTCTTCTGGGGACTCCCATATGTTGTTCCACTTCTAAGCTCTTCTTAAAGGAAAAATCTAAAGGCCCATCTGTATTATCTATCTTCAATTCTATTCTACTCCCAAATTTTCATGACTACTACCAACCACTCCAGTAGATCCTGTCAAGTGAAAAATGACCTTCATTTTGCCAAATCCAATGGTTATTTCTCAATCTTCTACTTATTTGACACAATTGCTCCCTCTCTCTTTGAAACATTTCTTTGAAATACTCCTAGGATACTACTCTCTCAGTTCCCTTTTACCTCATCAATCGCTGTTCGGTCTCCTTGGTAGAATCCTCCTTATTTCCTCAACCTTGATGCTAAAGTAGCCCTATGGCTGTCACTAAGGCTCCTCTCATCTTAATCTGCTCTCATACCCTAGACAGTTCCATCTAGTCATCTCACCATAAATACTATCCATATCCTCACAGCTCTCAATTTATATCAGTAGCCTTGGCTGCTTTCCTAAACTTCGGACTCAGATGGATAGTCAACTATCTACTTGATGTCTCACTTCGATGTCTCACAGCATCTTAAACTCAACATGTCCCATACTGCACCCTTTGTCCTACAATGAATCAGCTCTTCCTGCAGTTTTCTCCATCTCAGTAAACTGCAGCTCCATCCTATTAGAAGCTGAAGTCAAAGAGAAGTCATCTTTGATCTCTTTCTTTCTATTATACTTTATAAACAATCTATCAGCAAATACCTATAAAATCTATCATTACTCATTACCTATATTCTAAAACCTGTTGTAGTAAGATTCCCAACTGGTCTCCTTATTTTCACCCTTGCCTCCTTGGTCTATACTTGACACAATAATCAGAAGGGTCCTTTTAAAAATTAGTTAGTTCACAGTACTCTATGCAAAACTCAAGGCTTTCCATCTCACTCATTAAAAATTCAATCTTTCCTCATGTTCTTCCAAGTCCTATGGAATGTGGCCTTCTGCTACCTCTATGACCTCTTTCCTCCCCCCTTACCAACTCCAGCTCCTAACTCTATACCAGCCATACCAGTCTCCTTTTTTACCCTTTAACCAAGCATGTTCCTACCTCAGTCTCTGCTTATTCTGTTCCTCCTGCCTGTAATGGTCTCCTCTCAAATGAAGATATGCTCTCTAACACTTTCCTTACATATTTTTCATAATACGTCACCTTATTAGAGAGCCCTTCTCTGATCTTTCCATATAAAATAGCATTTTAGCCTACCTCTCTTATTTCCTAAATAATTTATCCTGCTTTATATTTCTTCATACTACTGATAACAATATATTTTTACTCACTTTTTCACTATCTGTCCTCTCCCTGCCTGCCACTCAAATATAAGCTACTTTAAGAGCAAAAAGTCTGTGTGGCTATCTTTATAGGATCCATGACAATGCCTAATACATAGTAAGCCAATATATTTGTTAAATAAATATGCTGAATGAATGACAGTAAAATACACTAATCTGCAATCCTTAAATAGCTAAAGTAAGCAACAGATAGGTCAACTTGGTCCAACTTTCTGGTTCTTCCAGGGAACCTTCTTCTTTCTGTATTTACATCACTGCTTGTCCACACCAGGCACTTGTGACACCTTCTAATGCCATCTTGTATGAGTGTTTACTATCTAACCCAACCTAGGTAAATACCGTGCCTTAAAGCTATTTTTATACTCCCTGACAGACTCCTCCACCCCAACCAGGTACTAAGGTAGATAGAACATGAATAAGGACTATTATGTTCATGTTCCTCAAATGCTTGCTGAATTATATTTCAGTCAGCCCTCAAATGCAGTGCTTTGCAGACATTTTATGATTAACTTGTTTATCACAGAGTTGTAGTTTATTTTAGAGTCTTGTACTCAAATCTGACACTCCCAGATGAAGACCAAAAAAGAAAAATAATGAAATTTGAGCAAGAATTCTTAATTTCTTATTCCTGTACTTAAAATTTCTAGGCTCTTTTACAGATAAAAATCTTAAATGCAATTAAATGTCTAGATGCCTGGTGTCTAAATACCATAAGAGAAAATAAGTTTGATGATGCATGATTTCTGAACCATAAACAAAACTATGTCTATAGCTGCTTAGTATTTTTTCCTATAAAAACTGAATGTAACCAATTTAGCTTTGTTGATATCCTGTACTGGGGTTCTATCTAAGAATCTGTATTCAATTTGAATAGATGTGAGGGTATATTTTTCCTATTTGGCATTATCACTTATTTTCCTCTCATTTTTATGAATTAAGTATTTTATCAATTCTTAAAACACTCATTATATACAGAATATGATGGTCTAAAACAAAGGTGAACTAAAGCTAAATTTATACTAAGTGTTTTCAAGTATTTAAATTGTATTTCTTAAAAATTTATTGAAATATATATAGCAGTTTCTTTATACCTCACAAAAATATTATATTTACCTTTTATATAAAAAATTAATATTGATCTAGCTAATGGCAAAATAAGACTTTTATCCAGGAAAGGAAAATTATCCACTGGCATGAGATTTTACAAAAGCGTTAGATAGACATTTCTTTCTGAAACAATAATATGTATGACTCAATGATTATATAACATTTTTAAAGTATCCGATTCTACTTTTCATTTTTTAACTGTATCCTTAAAAAAGCAAACTTAAGCTAATTTATTTTGTAGCTGAAGCTTGTCTTAGCCAACATCAATTTTACATAGGAAAGTACTAATACTCTGCTCTGCATATATTTAAAAATTATCCATCTGCATTTATTATTATATTTTATATTTTCTTAAACTTACTTAGACCATTCTAAATTCATTATTTACCCAATAAATCCATCATGAATATACAGTAAGAATTACCAACAAACACTCAATTAATCTGCTCTTATAAAGAGCTTAAACAATCAACAAAACGACCTCAGGATTCCTTAACAATCTTAAAAATTATTGAACACCCAAAAAGAGCTTACATATAAATATGTAAGTCATATTTATAGACAGTTATCATATTGGAAATTAAAACTGAGAAATTTTTTAAATATTTATTTACTTATTTTAAAATAATAACCACATGACATGTCAACATGCATAACACGGTTATGAATAATGCAATAATTTACAAACAAAAAAAATTTAGTGAGAAGAGTGGCACCATTTTACATTTTTACAAATCACTTAAATATCTAAATAGTTGACATAAAAAAAGATAGCTGGATTCTCAAAACTTTCCACATTCAATATGTTATATCATTATAGGTTATATAATCTCTTGATAGCTCCACTATCACTCATGAAAGAATTAAGAATAAAAAAATTATATACCATGTTCACGTTGTATGAGGTAACTTTAACTTCACAGAGCCCTTGAAAGAATTAATTTCATCAGATCTCACTATAAAGATTTTAACAGGATTTCCAAATGTCTGATTTGCTTTAAGACTGGAAAAAACTCATATATATTGTTTGTTCTTGAAGTTTTAGACCACTGATCTAGGCAAAGACTTTAAGAATAAACTTGTGAATTTATTTTATGATGCATACCTGTTGTAGGATACAATGGAGTCATGAGAAGTCTTATGAACATGTTCACTAACTATAGGTTTAACTAAACCTACCTCTTCTGCTGCTGCCTCTGAAAGCAGACCTTCCTTCTGAGCACAGGTCACATGGAAATACGCTCTGCACATCCCTGCATCACAGCTAATGCAAACTCCAGTTCTAGCAAAACGAGGGTCTTCACAGAAGCTACACTCCTACAATGGAACAAAAGAAAAATGCTCAGAGTAAAAATATTTCCAGAACAAAGACAGCATTCTCATATAAAGTATCCACAAAGGACATATAGTGAACTAATACTATTACAATACAAACAACTGTAGGCAAGTCAACAGTTTATATGAAGAATAACAAAAGAAAAAATAAACAAAAAGGACTATATCAAACTAAAAAAGTTTTTGTAAAGCAAAGAAAACCATCAACAAAACAAAAAGATGATCTACTAATTGAGAGAAATTAACTTATGATATATCTGATAAGAGGTTAATACCCAAAATATAAAAAGAACTCATACAACTGAACAACAACAAAAAAAATCCAATTAAAAAGTGGATTGTTCAGAAGACCTGAACAGATATTTCCCCAAAGAAGAAATAAAAATGGCAATAGACATATGAAAAGATGCTCGAGGTCACTAATTATCAGAGAAACGCAAATTAAAACCACAATGAGATATTACCTCACACCTGTTGAATGGCTATCATCAATAAATCAAAGAGTAATAAGTGTTGGTGAGGATGTGGAGAAAAAAGAGTCCTCCTTTGCTATTGGTGAGACTGAAAATTGGTACAGCCACTATGGAAAACCATATGGAGGTTTCTCAAAAAATTAAAAATGGATCTATTTTCTGACCTAGCAATTGCACTTCTGAATATTTACCCAAAGAAATCCAAAACAGTAATTTGTAAAGATCTATGCACCTCTATGTTCATGGTAGCATAATTTATAATAGCCAAGATATGGAAGCATGCCCATCAACAGACGACTAGATAAAGAAGTTATGGTTTATATATAGAATGGAATATTACTCATCCATTTGAAATAATGAAATCCTACCATTTGCAACAACATGGATAGACTTAGAGGTTATTATGCTGAGAAAGACAAATACCATATGATTTGACTTATATGCAGAATCTAAGGAACAAAAAGAACAAACTAATCAAAAACAGACTCACACATACAGAGGACAATTCGGTGATGAACAGAGGGGAGAGGGGTTGGGGGGCTGAGAGAAAGGGTTGAAGGGTTAAGGAAGTACAAATTAGTAGTTGATAGATGGTCACAGGGATAGGGAGCATGGCATAGGAAATGCAGTTAGCATTAATGTATTGATTAGGTGAAGAGCCAGAGGAGAGAAGGAGCAATCAGGGGGGGATCATTTTATCATCTATATGAATGTCTAACCAATGTACTGTATACTTGAAACTAAAAAGATAAAATTAAAAAAAAAAAGTTTATATGAAAAAAGTAATTTTCTATGTGGTTCAAAAAATCCAAATTCCACTAATTTAATAATAATGATGATAGTAATAGTTGAGGGCTTACCATGTGCTAGGCACAATTCTAAGCACTTTACCTATATTATCATTTTAATAATGATGGTAGTAATAGTCGAGGGCTTACCATGTGCTAGGCACTATTCTAAGCACTTTACCTATATTATCATTTAACACTACACATTAATATGTAAATGAGGTACTGTAAGTATTAGCATTTTGTACATTAAAAAATTGGAAGACAAGTTAAGAAATCTGCTTGAAATAACTGGGAACCAGTCTTCAAACCAGGGTAACATTACTTTACAGTCCATGCTCTTAACTATTAAGCTACACTGATTTGAACCACATAATACTGCATGGAAAAATAAATTAAAAGCCAGAGAAAATTCACCAAAAGATATAGGCATTACAACAAAAGAAATCATGCATTTTTAACATATATTTAAGAGAATTAAAAGTAATCTTAAGTAAACAATTTGGTGAAATCAGTAGTGATACACGAAATATAGCCAATTATTTGTTATTTCTGTACACAAAGGGAAAAACTGTAAAACTAAAAATATAAATTGCTTAAATTACTCCAAATTCCCCCCAAAATTTATTTTTTTATTCTTTTAACTATCTTAACCACAGAGAGAGAGAAAAAAATCTAGTCTCAAAATATAAACTGCACTGGTAATAGGGATCTTCATAAAAGAAAAACTTGCTAAATTGTAGAAGACTGCCAGTAGATAATTTAAGAACTAAATTTAAATAGACTGCAAGTACTCTTTAGTAAATATATTCTAAGTAAATTAAATATGAGGGAAACATATAAAAAAGAAAATAGAAAAGTTTCATTAAAGGATAAAAATATCATTACAATACTGTAATAGTTGGTGACTACCTATTAGGTAGACATCAGTAGGACTGTCACATCAGCAATGAATGAAAACAGCAAGAACAGGACTCTGCTTATTGATGTGAAAATACTCCCAAATACTAACTCTACTGCCTACTTAAGGGTCTTTCTCCAATAACAGTAGAATGTGTATGCTATAAATAGTAATCTAAAGATGAGACCTAAAAAGAAAGAGAGATAATAGAAAAGAGGTAAGGAGAGAAAAGAAGAAATTAAATTATTTAAAGGATGTCAATACTATGAACAGAACCAAGTTGTTTAGTATACTTCCCTGAGTAATTTAATGTAATATGATGAAATTGAACAGGGATTTCAGAGTGAATACAAAGAAAAATTTTCTAACAAAGAAAATAGAATCCTCCTCAATTGCCTGATTCAAAATGCTACAGAACTAAGCAACCAAGAACACAGGGGAGAAGTAATCAAGATTAGGAAATGGGTAAGACAATGTGGTCTAAAAAAGCTGTCCCAGTCATAATTCACAACACTGTGTTTGATTTTGCAGATAAGCTAGAGGGTACATAATTTTTTACTCCATTTCCCAGTAATACTTCAAAACAAAATCTGGTGATAATGAAAAATCATCTGATAATTGCACATTTAATGCTCTTTTCAGTCTAGAGGTCACTGCTGGCTTCAGTTACATCAAGTAATATCTAGTTACTGTTTTTGTAATTGCTTCTAGATTTATTTTTATAATAATGTGCGGCTATTGAAAATGGCAAGCTAGTCCTAGGTTCTGTGCTTATGAATTATGAAACTCCTATCAAAAAAGTAGTAATTTCCACTTCCAATAAAGGTGGATTAGGTAATTTGTTTTAAAGCCGCTCAACTAGAAAATGTAGACAGAAAGTTTTTAACTATATCTTAAAGGTATCAAAGAAGTAATAAGACAGTGTAGAATTACCTGAGGACCAAGAAAGTTAAGTTCAGTGCTTGGGCCAGATTTTCTCCCTGAGAGCTCTAGCTAATTCTGGAGAGTGAAGCTACGTACAGTTTAACAGAAATTGCACAAATTAAAGGACATGACTATTAGAGTGCAGGAGGAGGGGGAGGTGTGGGGATAGTGCAGAGCCCAAGGAGGATATTCTGCATATAAGAGCAGAAACTGTCAAATTTCTAAATTTTCAATATCAGAATTTTCCAACAACCTTTAAGTTCCCTACCCTACCTTTAATATGTTATTGATGCTTTTCAAGGATCTTCCTTCCCAATTTCCCCAAAGACAGTAATGAAAAGAGAATATATCAGTGCCCAACTAGTTCTAGTATTCCAGAAATATCTGTAGTATTCTATACCGAAGTTTAAATTAATAAGTGGGTGTTTTTATCACTTACAATTTTAAATCTCAATCAATTAAAACCAATTTAGAAACTATCAAGGCTGAGAATCATTTGCTCAGAAGGTTATGCAGTCATAAAGATGAAACCAGTCCTTTAAACCTGAGTAAAACCTGAGGTGCTTCCTGTACAATTTTTCATAATTTTGACAAATTCTATTTCAAAAGTAAAGTCAGAAATCATTTGATTTCTTGTATTTGATTTGACTGATTAAAAATAAGGATTTGGTCTGATAACTCACTATACACTAGGCAATGTGTTAAATGCCAGAAAAACAGCAGTAGTATTAATTACTACTTGACCCCACAGGTTATTCTAAATTAAAAATATATGGAAGAACTTACACATGGTTGGCTTTCTGAGAAAATTAATATCAATAATAAATGATTCAGTGCTAACTGCTATATGAATAGCATGATTACTAACAAGCATTTCTGTAGTCAATAATATTAGTAAAAAGCCATGTAAACTAATAAGTAAAAACTTTCTCTTTAAACAACCAAAAACACTTTGTCTCACCTTGGCACCATATTTGGAATAGTTCATTTCTGTTAGTGTTACTGGTCGTAATTTGTCAATATCTCCAAAGGCTACTCCAGGAACATACAGGGCACAAACAATGTGAACCCATCTATAAGAAAAAAAGATACGATTTTGCTATCAAAACACTTTTTAAAATGTCCACATGGAAAACAGATATAAAATATGTGCCATCTCAAGTAACTACTAGAAGAATCCTATGGTCAGATATCAAAACTTCAGACACACCAACGAACAGTATGGAACAGATAAAGAATGAGATCAGTTACAAAAGAGGGACTGCAATAACCACTACTTTCCCAGCAGCTTAGCTAAAACTGAGAGTTAACAACAGTAATTGCTTTGCACTTAAAATTCACTGCACTTTGCACTCATCTGTTATTCTTAAATATTTGCACAAAACCATTATTCAAATGAAACAAAACATCATTTTCATATGCATGAAAAGGTATTCACATTCATTATTTTAAGTGCTTTGAGAATTAAGGATCCTAATTTAAGAACTGTGAAGTTACTTTGCAGTAATTAGGTAAAATTGCTCTTTCTTATTATTTCTCTTCTAAAAGCTGTTGGATAATCCTTAAAGACTTATTTTAAAACAACTTTTGGTATGCATCTTGACTTTTTTCCCAGGTTAAATTGATTGCTATAAATCTGTACAGAATAGTTATAAGCATATATGGAAGTCATATTTCACTCAATTTATCTGTTCACCATACAACCTATATATTAAAACTTATATTCCTCACATATTATTTTTTTTAAGATTGAATGATTCTGTAACACTAAACAAAGAATATTCAAAGTTTCAACACACTAAAAATAAATAATAAATGGGAGTTTATTTAATTCCATTTTTTGAAAACTGCTCTGAACCTTTTTTAACATAGGAACCATTTCTGTTTGCTTACGACCAAACTATGGATCACTGGATTTTGAAATTTAAACAGACCTATATCGCTTCTGAAGAAAGAGGGTAAAAATGAGATGATAAATCTCTCTTAACCTTGTGAATATATCAACAAGAAATTCTGCCTGCCTTATCACAGCTTACGAAGCTATTGTTGCTACGAAGCTATGGTTCTGTTTTTTGTGATGCACTATGAGTTTTAAGGAATAAGACTAAGAATCATTTTTAGAGGTATGGGGAAAATAGTTACAAATCTTTAAAATTATATTTTTTTATTGGAAGAAAATCCAAGGTTTTGAGATTTTTCTTGAAAGAATGTTTTAATCCAATCCCTCAAATGCATTCTGTGGAGTTCAATATAAAGATAAACATCTTCAACAAGCAGCTGCTTTCTCAATTTAATTTGCTCAGTTTTTTCATGCTCCACTGGTGTATTAAATGCCGCTGTACTCTGTAGGAGTTTATCTTTGATAAACCCAACAGCTGGCTGCTTCCTTCACTGACCTTCTTAAAATGTTTTAGTACAAGTCACACAAGTACTACTGATTTAGTAGTACTTTAGTGTGATTGGCACACAAGCGTATCATCTCCCCCAACCACTCCTGAGAGAATGCCAACTTGAATCTTTATTAAAATATATCTCAAACAGCTGAGACAATTTTGGTCCTTATTAATACCTGTCGTAAATAGATTTTTGTTCATTTGTTTAACTGCACAGACTTTAGAACTTTGTAACTAAGACAAATCGAGAAATCAAAAAGGAATGATCATCCTTGTTACTTTACCATACATTTTGCTTGGAGCTATGATGACAGATGTTGATAGGGGAAAGATGCAGAAAACAAGCACCACATAAAACCACCAAAAAACAAAGAGTCAGAATTATCATTCTAGCATAGAAACTATTAATAGCTTCTTTTAAAATCACATATTTTAATAAAGCAAACTAAGAAAAATACTTCTCAAAAGACTCATTTCAGAATGGTAACTATATTAACCAATCAAATGAGATTCTGAAATGCTTTGTATTTATAGTGCCGTTACAACATATAAAGCAAATTCACTTTATGTTATTTTCAGTTATTAAGTACCTACTAAGAACACAGCACCACACAGGCAGTTTGGAAGTTATTTTGAAGTGCTTGCTGCATAGTGTCTAGCATACTATCTCTAGATATTAGAGAGTTACCAGAAAAAATTGATGCCGCTGGTATTCAATGATTACCTTAAATGAGTAAATAATAATTTTATATTTTTAATAAGAAAGCACTAGTGGTAGCACTAGTAGTTAAGGAGACATTCACTGAGCGCTTACTATGTTCCAGAAACTATAATTGTTTCATATGAATCATCTCATTATAATCTTCTCAAAAGTGCTAAGGAAACTGGGGTATAAAAGGTTAAAACATTTGCCTAAAATCACAGTTAGTAAGGAAAGATCAGAATCCAAATACAGGCAGTTCAACTTGAAAGCACACACTTTAAATGCTGTACTAAACTCCCTAATTCTAGGCCAAAGTCAGCCCAAATATAAAATAATGCCCATGTCTATGATACAGACCACAGATTCATGTCAACACATCAAATTATTTGTTACATATTTCTTTTCTTTTTTGGATGAGCAATGAGGAAAAAGAGGCAAGAAGTTTAGCCATTTTTCCTAGACATCGACACTCAGGGTTTTCTAAGAGTCCATGACAGAGTCTACACTATCCCAACAATCTTATACGGCAACATTTCTTACAAGGGCCTGTGTATCAACTGAGGCAAAAATAGGATACATGAAATGTATCCTATCTTTTTCGATGTTAAAATATGGAAAATGATGGTGACAATTTGAATAGGTTTTTTGGGTTGCTGTTCTTAAAATATCACACATGTTTGATAAAAATACTGAAATATCTTTATGTGGAAGAAAAGCTGAGCACTCCCTTTTATGGTAGGGGGTGGAGGTTAGAGTGGGAGGTGGTATGGGAGTAGTAATCCACACAATACCAAAGGTTAGGAACTACTCTTATATTTCAGTTATCCATCCCAGATGGTAGTTTCCTGGGGAAAAAAAACATTAAAGATGTCAACACTATTATGATGACAACTGCTCAGATGTAATAATAAAAATAAGTGTGAACACAATAGTAAAAACAACATGGGTCTTTGTGCCAGTTAACAATTTATTGCCTCTCAGCTCCAAATCTACCTTTGCATGTCTGCTCTGCAGTAATAAATAGAAGCCCTTCGGCATTTCTGCTTTACAGCGAGCATGATATTAAGTTTTCTTTGAGAGTAGAGGAGGGCACTACAGGAGGAAAGGGCTTCTCAGCAGGGAGTGCCTGCCCCAGACCCATGCACTATCCCCAGTGATCTCACAAGCCTTGCAAGAAAAGTGACCTGGAGATCACTTTTCTGTGGTCCTCTCAACACAGAAACCACATATTCCAGGCTTTATACCAGTGCCCCAGCTCCCCCTACAACCTGTGCTCAGCCACTTGCCAAGAACCACAGATCTGTTCTGGCCCAGGCAAATCAGCAAACTTCTCTGCCATCTTGTAGGCTGCAACTACACCTTCTCCAACAAGGTCTGGACCCTAGCCTGTGGGAAAGGGTCACCTTACAAGTCTGTCATTCCCTGGATACTCTCCCTCAGCCCTAGGGTATCCTTTAGAGATCTTGTATATATTATGGTTACTCTTTTATCATAGCTTAATAATTTTTTAAATTAAACTTTCCTTTTTAAATCACTACATGAGTTCTGTCTCCCGATAGACTCCTGAAGTCAAATAGGTATGGGTTCAAACTTGACTACACCAGCTTGTGGTCTTGAGAAAACTAAAATTACTTAAATGATCTAAGCCTCAGGTACTATACCTATAAAATGGGAAATTTTATCATTTGTTTTATCATAGGGTTGATATTAGGATTAAATGGGATTATGAGTATTAAGGCAAATGTAGGTACTCAGTGGTCTTTCCTCCTCCCAGCTCTGATCTATAGCCTATTGTCCATTTACTCTATGCCAAGAAGATATAAAGAAACAATCAAATGAAATGGTGTAACTCAGAAAAATCAGAGTAGAGGAATAGAGTAGTCAGAAGCAGACATATTATAAAGCAGGCATATTAACCCAGAAGAATTATGACATCAACCTTCCAGCATCTGTCTCCTTGAAAATTCCATCCTGATTAGGACATAGTTCACAGCTAGGGGAAACACCACATTTACAGGCATCACAAAACCAAGGTTCGGTGGAGTTTTCAGAAGCCGAACTCATAATAGAGTCACTCTCTCCATCAACTCCATAGCAACCTAAACAAATAAAAAAAAAAGTATGATTAAATAATTTATTTTTTAAACACATTTATAAAATCACAAAAGAAAAAGAGAAGGGAAGAGAAGTAGAGAAAAATTCTGAAAAACAGTTCATAATAATGATACTAGCATCAAAACACAAAGATGAAATCATTTTATAAAAAATACCTTTTCACCTCAATAATACATACAATAAAATAAATGCCTTTTAAAATAGTTTTAGAGCTACTGGAAAAGCATTACAGGAGGGAGAAAATTTATAGTTCTTTAATTTTTTTTAATTTAAAAAAATACTTAAATATGAATTTCACTAAAAAAAAAAATAGACTGAGTCTAGGAATTATCTATTAGTAAAGATTTATTGAACTCCTTTTGTACTGACCAGTAAAATAAATATAAAAGACCACAACCATGCAAAACAAACATACAAACAAAAAAAGCCTTGATTTAATTTTGGAGATGGCAGATTAACACACAAACTCATACAACCAAAAGTGCAAAGTAAGAATTAGTAAAAGGAAAATACAGAAACACGTGGGAGTGCACACACACACACACAAATGGAGACTACAGAACAGTTTGAACAGTTCAGACTAGAGTCAGACATGCTAAGTTCCATTCAGAAATGGGCCAACTCTAGCTATATGAGGTATTCTTTTTAAACATCTATGATTCTATCTTCTGTAAAAATTTATTCATAACTAAAATGAACAAAAACAAGAGGTTACCCTCTGTTCTTCTTCTTATTCACTAACAACTTGTATTCTGAAAGGAGTCCTTTAAATCATGTGATAAAAATTTATAAAGATCCTATGAACATATCAAACAAAGATTATTTAGCATAGGTCTTTACATTTTAGAGTAGGACATGCTATATATACTTCAACTATCTTCCAATTATCAAATGCAGAAAGTTCGCTTATTAATTCAAATATACATGTTTGGACTCATAAATAATTTCTTTTAAGAGAATTTTTGTCAATTTATTTGAACCAAAACTGACAACTGCCAAGAACTCAAATGCTCCTGTATAAATAATATTTAAGTTATTATGTGGGTTTTCAGATCTGTCTAAAATTTTTATAAAATCAAAAAGATTTTCCCTAGTTTTGAGCTTAAAAAACTAGATTAGATGCCAAAGATATAAGCCAATAGGAAATTCAGGCAGGATATCAATGTCAACTTCTTGTTAAGATCAAGTTCTCATCATTAAAATTCCTATAACTCAATTTTGGCTATAAACTCAGTGTTGATAAAAATCTCAGTGCCTGACAAACTAACAAAACTCACTAAAAGTGATGTCACATCCATTATGAGTAATTGTTTCTTAGTATAAAGATATGACAAATGTATTGGCACCAACAAAGTACTGATAATCATGGAATCCAATAAAGGAGAATTGAAAATTGAGAGAGAATTTCACTCATATAAAAAACTATGTTGCACTAGTGATGAGTTATAATAGAGAGCATTTCTCTGGTAACTACAATAGTCATGACTCCTAAAAATTTTCTTTTTGCTAAATAGTGCTAGCATAAACCAACTTTAAATAATTCAATTTCTCTTCCTCTAGAAGGGCATGGCCCTCACGTTAAACATTCTTCAGAGAAACAATTTAACGCATATATAGTAGTGAAATAGATCACAAATTAATTCTAATCCAGACGTATTCCCTTTTCATCTTTAGGCTTGGGCATTTTTTGATCTCCTAAGACATCTTTATTACCTCTCAAGATAGGTAGCTTCTATAGACACCCAAATATTAACCATCACAGGATACTAGTGACCAGGTTTATTCTAGAGGTTAGTCTTGGTGCCAAGTTCTAAGGGTCACCCACAGTAACCTCCAATAAACTGGAGACATTAGAAAAACCACTATGAGAAAAACCACATATGTAAGTGACAATCATCTCTGAAAAGTCTTCACCACTTAGTTAAGTGTGTGTGTGTGTGTGTGTGTGTGTGTGTGTGTGTGTGTGTGTGTCCAATGTAAGGTCATGTGATTATCTGAACTGGCTATACACTAAACAGACAACAGCCTAACTTGGGCAGTGCCTTCTTACAATCACCAGACACCCAAATTAAGAATAAATAAATAACTACATAAATAAGTAAATACAGACTCAAACAAATCACACAGAAAGAAAAAGTACATACAACTAGTAAATAATTTGAAGTAACAACATTAATTTACTAGATGTCATTTAATAGGTCAACAGTCATGTGTAAGTATTTTATTCATATAATACACTCAATACGATTATAATTAAAACAGCCTAATAGGCAGAAAACTAAAAGTTGATTTGCAACTATGACTTACATAAGCTGCCTGAAGCAAATCCAATAATTATTGTCATCTTATGCTATTTAAAGGCTTTATAGTGAAACTTAACATAATGTAAAAGTCATAAAAAAGAACACCAAAGAAAAGATTTTAAAGGAGCTAAACTATGGTATAAAAGATAAGCAAAGTAATCGAAACTCATTAATTTCTTTAATATCATTAAATTGTGGTTGGTAATCATCACCTTCATCACTTTTGTTCAGCTATACACTTTTAAAATGACAAATTACAAAATTAAAAAGAAATACAATTTTCTTCTTGGGAGCAGTTATTATTGATTGTCACCAATAAAAGACAATTTTTTTGTAAATGCAACAGTAAGCAAAATATTGTATTCAAAGAAAAATCATAAAACAAAACAAAAAGTCAATCTGTTTTCTCAAAGGGTTATGCATTAACAAGGAAAAAAATCTATTTTCTTTAAAAAATAATGTTCCGTTGAAGCAAATTCTTTCATCTGTATTCACACAAAAGAGGCAAGCAATTACCAGGATAATAAAGCCCCCAAGGGGCTATCCATTTTATTCATTTAATTCACCAAAATCAAGGTAAATCACAGCAGTTCACTTTTTTAGAATAAAGCAAAATTTCAATTCTATTTTTAAAGAATATGCTACACATATAGCAAACATCCAAAAAGAGATTTAACCACCTAGGAACAACCTCAAGAATGATTTCTGAGCTCCTCTCCTAGAAAATTTCTACTTTGTAACCCAGAAGACTGGTATTGTGCAAGCTCAAAGAACAACCGGCAACTGGATAAGTATTTCTTCTTTAGCTTCACTGACCCTGAAAAATAACCCACACTGTGTAATCACCTTTATAGAAATCTCTCCTTGCTTTCACCTGCCACTTTTCCCATATTTCTTTGCCATACCTGTTGGGTTTACTCAGCTATAGACCAAAGTTCTAACACTTTATAACCACTCTAATCTTTTAATTAGTGGCTAAATTCATTTTTAAATCTTTTTCTTTCTTCCATAAGAAACAAAATTTAAATTACCATAAAACAATGTTTATTCTATCTTTCTAATTATGAGTAGATCAGGCAAAAAGTCCTTTTTCAATATGATTATGAAAACAAGAGTTTTTATATAAGTAAACATATAAAATAAAAAATTTATAGACACATAAAATCCATTTCATATGGATTGATCATAATTTCAAATAGTAAACAGAAAACATGTCTCTATGGCTATCTATTTAGGATTAACCTGTAAGAAACACATGCAACCCACACCAATCATATTTAAGAAAAAATAATATAAAATGTGTTTACAATTTTTTTTTTTTTTTTTGAAATATACAAGGGTAAGAATAGTCCAAAAAAGTGGAAATTTTCCGCATTCAACTTGTCACGAGGGACCAGAAGTCTGGTAGTCTCTACCCTCTAGCTATGTAACTGGACAGACTGCATCTCTGAGACTGAGTTACCTCATCTATGATATATATTTAATTGTATCTATCCTAATTATTTCTCAGTATAGAAAGGAAAAAAAAATAGGAATACAAAAGTTGCATTTAAAAAATTTAAAACACTTTTTCTGTATTTAACATCCTAAAGTTAGACCTCTGATTACAAAATCCATTAAGATCTTAACAAGTAATATTGTTATTTATGAGTAGAAAAAGAACTTATAACATGCATGATATCTGTCAGAAATATATCCTTAAGCATAAATGAACTAAAATGCCTTTTGACTTATAAATTCCAAATGGTAATAACGTGAACATACTTTACCCAGTAAACACTCATGAGGATATGGACATACACACTAAGACATAAAAATGGTCTAGGGCTAGGCTAACAGCAGAATGAAAAAATAAACTAGGAGAAAATATTTTTTAGTAGACTTGATCTAATTTAATGCATAGCAACTAAATTTAAGGGTAACTGCTGGCAAGTGCACTACCTAATGCTCTGTCATATACTCTGACACATATCTGACATTTTTCTTTAGACACAGTGCAATCAGTATATCAGGATAACTGACATCACAGTCAGGGGTACCCTACCATTACCAGTCAGTTACAAGATTTTGTCACAAAGGTGTTTATACTAAGTGACAGTATGAAACCATTTGATTTCAAAAAGAGATTTATCTACATTTAGATGAAGTTAAGTCCGATGAAAAGTAATTATACAATCGTACATTTAAAAAGCAACATTTGGAGTACTATCTTTTAGCAAAACTTCAACTTAAAGGTATCTCTTAATTATGATTACTTAAGGAGTATGAAGGAGGAAAAGGAGGAGGAGAAGGAGGAAAGAAAAGATAAAGGAAGTGCACCAAAACACCAACTCTGGCTGTCTGGGTATTGGGACTATCAGAAATATTATTTCTACTCTTTGTTCTGTACTTCCCACATTTTATTTAACATTCATGCATTATCTTACGATGGGTAAATAGTTTTCTCTAAAATAAAGCATTCAAGGGAGTTCATGTTTAACCATGAGATGTTCGAGGGAAAGTTGCACGGCTGAATTACAATATGAAAGTGTGCCATTTAGGCACTTAAATTTTTAAAAAGCAAACAAACCCTATTAACACTAGCTTCCTATTATACTTTATAAAATTTCCCTTTCTCTGAATTAATTTTAGATGAAAATTCATTTGAGGACTTAAAAGGTATTAGAGAAAGATCTACAGATGTGACAACATAAAAATGAACATTCTAAACAATGAAAATTACCACAAAATTAAAAGGTACAAGACAAGATAGAAAAAAACATTTGTAGGGATAGAAAATAACTGTAACACGAACAGCAGGAAAAGGATTAACATTTAAAAAAGAATTCGAATAAGTCAATGAGAAAAAGACCAGTAAAACCTATTAATAAACGAGACAAGAAGTGTATACCAAGTAACAGAAAATAAAATGTAAATAGCCTACTGGGGTAAGTCATCAACGAGTCTGACCCCAGAGCTGGACCTGGGCAACTGAAGGCTCCCCAGTCCCTCCCCTGTACTTGGAATATGCGCTCCACTTGCCTTCCTCAGCTAGAAGCTGCCCAAAGACACAGCCTCGAGCTAGAAATGTGCTGATGAAGCGACCTGAACTGAGTACATGACTGAACTTGTTAGGGCCTCCAGTGTACATGACTGACCCCAGTTAGGGCTTCTATATAAACTTTTAAGATTCTAGCAGGCAGGTGCAGAAAACTACTTATCTTGCGGCCACCCAAGGCAAGCCTCCCCCTCTGCCCTCCAAGGTAAGGGGGCCAGTTTCAGATTTCACCTGGGAGTCTCTCCCATGGTTCTCCTCTTACCTCATTGCTCAGCCATGTGTTCCCATCTCCACTGAAGCGCTAGGACTTGACTATTCTCTAGAGAGCACATCCAATCTCACAGCTTTAAATAATGTCTGTAGGCTGATGAGTTCCAAATTTATACTTCTAGTCCCAATATCTTACCTACACTCTGGACACTTTAAGACAAAACTTGTGCTATCTACCTCAAAACTATTTCTTTCTTGGGTCACTATAATGGTCTCCCTGATTCCTCCCTTAGATTGCACTTCAGTCTACTCTCAAACCAACAGAGTGATCCTTCCAAAATATAAATCAAATTAGATTAATCCTCTGATCAAAACTCACGTATGTCTTCCTATATCCATCACAGTAAAAGCCTCACCTGTTTGCCCCAATCTCTACCCCACCACTAACCAGCTGGCTCACTCAGTTTTAGCCATACTAATCTCTGTGCCATTATAAAAACACTCTAAGCATGTTCCCACTTCAAGATCTTTACACTCACTGGTACCTCTTCTTAAAGTGCTCTTTCTAAAAACATCCAGGTAACTGCTCAAATACTACCTTATCAGAGGGAGTTTTCCTTATCACCTTTTATAAACTTATCCATTCAACCACCCCCACCCTTAGCATTCACAATACTCCTTGTCTTGCTCTATTTTCCTCCATTGTCCGGATCACCATGTGATACATATTTATTTATTGTTTCATTATTTCATTGCCTGTCTCTCTTACCAAACATTAAGCTTCATGAGGTCAGCAATTTCTATATTGTTCATTTATATGCCTAACACCTACCGAATGCCTAGCACATAGAAAGTACTCAACGAATCTCAATCAAGTGATCAAAGAAACATCAACCAGCAACTGGACAAATAAACATAATATGCTTCCAATGTGATATACTGAGAACACAACATAACTTCTGTGG